CACTGCAGCCCCAGCTCCAGCGACGCCTGGCGAACCTTCGCGCGCGCCACGGCGGGCGCGAAGTACCCGGGGCTCGCCTCCGCGGGCGCGCTGAGAGTCTGCGCGCGCAGCCCGAGCCAGAGCCCTGGGGGCCCACCAGCGCCGACTCGCAGGTCGCCCCCGTCTGGCCAGGGCGGCGCGGCGCCACGTCGTTCAGGATGATGCCCCACATGGTGAACCCCAAGCCCGCGACGCCAGCAACAGCGACCCCCCGCGCATCCGGCGGGCCTCGGACGGCCTGGGGCAGACGTGGCAAACCAGCGCCACGAACGCGACACCGCTGGGCAGACTCTTCCAGATGACCCCCCACCCGCCACGGCATCGACCGCGCCCAAGGCGATGGGGGCCAGCGCGGACGCCGTCGCGGCATCCAGCAGGCCGGCCGCGCCGAGGCCGCGCTCGCGGCAGCCCGGCCACCGCGGGGCGCCGCCCCCGAGCCCTCGGCGCGCTCTTCGCCGCCGACGCCCCCGGGGCACTGGCGGCCCCGTTGGCCAGCCCCCCCGCTCGAGGGCAAGCCGGGGCCTGGGCGGCCGCGAGAGTCAGGGCACGCGGCCTCCGGCTCGGCGCGACCTCTGGCAGCCGCTTGCGCCCCCTGGAAGCTCTGCCCATCGAAGCGCCCGCGGCGGGGCGGCCCGTCGGCTGCGTTCAGCCCCGACGGCAGCCAGCGGACATAGCGCCGATGGTTGGTAGCCGGGCTGAGTGCCGCAAGCAGCCGCAAAAGGCGACGCAGGGCGGGCCCCCGCCCCGGCCCCTCGCCTGCCGCCAGAGCAAATGGGCAATTATCGACGAGGAACAAGTGCCGATAGTGGCGAAGCGAGAAGCCGCGAGCGGCGCGGCGCGCGGCATCGCGCAGCGCGTTGCCCTCATGCTCCAGAATACTCATAGAAGGTGTCCAGCGCCTCCTGGAGATGACCGCGGCCCACGTAGAATCCCCCATGACGCCCCCTGGGATCTCGCGGAAGGCCCCGTCGAAGCCCTCGCGGGCCGACGACGCAACCGAGCCCCTGGCGACTGCATCCTGAAAACCTGGGTCACCAGAGGCCCCCTCGAGGGCCGGCGCGTTCGCACATGCCGAAAACGCCGACGCGCATCGACGCCCCCACCTCTCCGCCCGAGGCCCGATCTCGGCCGCTCGGGGCCCGCCCGGCCGACGGGCGCAAACGCCGACGCCGATGAGAGAGGCGCCGGCGGCCGAGGCGCGCGAGCCCCACGCAATCCTGACGCGCGAAGCCGAGAGAGGGAGAGCACCGGCCACGCCCCCAAGTCCGAACATCACCGAGCCCCAAAAAGGCCTCGCATGAGGGCCCGTCAAAGACTTGGAAGCGCAGACCGGCGACGAGTTGGATAAGGTCTGTCTCCTGCAAACCATTGCCCGTGCGATCGACGCGGCCCCCCGCCGAAGGACTGCGAAGGACTGCCAGGGTCGCCCGCCGAAACCTCGTCGCGCCGGCAGGCGTCGCCCTCGCAGACCCGACGCCGCCGTCGATCTCGAGGCCCGCGGGGGCGGAGACGGAGGAGGCCTCGTCGAGTGCGTGCACGGGGGGCCCCCGCATCTCCAACGCGGGCTGGGCCCGGCCCCGCTCGGCCGCGACCGCGGCTTAGCCGCTGCCGAAGATGGCGAACTTGCCAACGTCGCCAGCCGCCGCCGCGCGCCCGCGCGCGCGGGGCGGGGGGCTAGGGCTAGGGCGCACTGTCGCCGTCGCCTAAGCCGCCGCGCCAGAGAACTCTCCGCGGGATGCATTGGCATAACAAAAGCTACCAGCTCCATCCCATCGGCGGGGCGCGGGCCACGGGCTGCAGCGCGCAATCGATGGGCATCGGCGCCAAGTCCACCTCTCTCGATGCGCAAGGGGCAGTCGGAAATGGCAGGGGTCGCGACATGCTCTTCCATGCCCTCCGGCGCGAGCGCGCAGTGAAAAGAGCGCTGGGCGTCGCCCTAGGTCTCCAGGGCGGGGCGCGCGGCCGCCGTCGGCAGCGCGGTCTCGGGCGGCGCCTCGAACTCCTCGCTCGCCGCGCGAGCGCCGGACATGACGATTAGCCGCCCGTGCGACGCGGGAACTATCGTGCTTCCCTCGAGCAACTGCCCCGCGAAACCCGCGCAGGCCCTGGGGCTGTTGGCCGAAAACGGGCCGACGCGTGGACGCTGCGGCAGCGAAGCCAACCTCGGGCTCGATGCAGACGACTCAACCTCAACCTATTCCACGAGGTCAGCGACTTCCACGGGGTTCGTCGACAGGTCAGGCCAGGACACCAAGTCCTTCTTGTAGGGCTGGACGCGCTGGGAACCAGTTGAATACTCTGGCCCCGGCGCGAGCGGCTCCGTCAAGGCCAGCTCGCCAGAATAATGGTCCTCTCGAAATTCTAGGGGGCGAAAGAATAGCTGATTTACTCGCGCAATGTGCTCCGCCGCGCTCGCATGCGCCGCCGAAGCCGCCGACCCAGGAGGCGCCGAGGGCGATGGCGAGTGGCCGCTCAGTTGGCTCAGGGCAGCGATGCCGTCGTTGGCGCATCGCCGCCAAGAATCCCCGCGCCGGGCGCGCTGCCGCCCCCGTCGGCCCAGGCGCGCGTTGGCCCGAGCATCCGAAGCCAAAGACGGCAAGGGGAACGCGCCACGCTGCCGAGCACCAGGCTCGATCAGCGCGTCAAGAATGGCGATGACCAAGGCCGCCGCGAAAACGCAGGGGATCGCCTAGGCGGCGCGACTGCGCCTGCACCCGCCTGGGAAAAGCCTCACCAGGGCAATGCGCGCACCGCCCGCCCCCCGCGGGCTCTGCGCCTCTCCTCGGCGATGGCAGACTCCGTCTTCAACTGATCCGCGATGAACTCGGTGAGCGCGGAGGCAAGGCACTGACTCCCTCTGCCCCTCGAGACGCCCATGTAGCAGCCAACCTCCACCTTCAGCAGCGCGTCGATCACCGCCGCGGCCTCATTGTCCTCTGCCGACTTCGCATATTCCGTCGCAGCCTGGGCGGTGACGGTCTCCTCGTAGCGGCGCTCCTCAGTGAGTTGGATCTGTCCGCAGCCCAGCTCGAAAGCCGAAGGCTCGGCGCACAAGACCTCGTCGTAGTGCTGGCAGGAAGCGTCAAAGCTCCGCCACCGAAACTTTGCCTTCCACTCGGAGTGCCACGCCAGCGGGCCACCAGCGTTCCTCAGCACGTGATCCAAACACCTCTGTGTCGTTGGCGGCCCCATGATCGGCCCGTCGGCCAACGGCGTCAAGCCCAACTGCAAGTTCGCGGTCACGAGGTCCGGCGACCTCCGACCCACGAGAGCAGCGGCGCTGCCAGGTCCCGCGGCGCCAGCGGCCCCGCTAGCAGGGACAGCCCCGGCACCCGCGGCGCCCGCGCCAGGAGCAAACGCGGACCCGACCGCCGCTGCGGTAATGAAGTTGGCCAGGGCGAAGGGCCGATCCGCCCCGCCCACGCCCACGCCCACGCCACCCAAGACGAAGGGCCTGGGCGACAACGGCGCGCCGATCAAACCTGCGGCGTAGCGGGGGTCGACCCTCATGCCCGCAGCACTCGGCGCGGCCGTGAACCTGCACACGCTCGTTTCGACGATGCCGTCGATCGGGGCCCTTGCGCCCACCATGTGACGGATCTCCTGGGCGTAAGCGTCCACCACCGTGGTCCGCTCCTGAGCAATCCCATCGACAGTTGAGTACCAGGGCCGATATGAGCGACACCACGCTGAGCCCCACGAGGAGCGAGAGGCGACACTGGTACAATGCGAACCCAGCTGAGCAGCACCGAGTGGACTGAACATCACCTGGCAGCTGCATGCTGAGTGGATGCCCCTGCCTGCTGCAATGCCCGCTCGCGGATCTCCTCGGCTGTCGGACCGCTGCGAAACAGCCCATCGCTCGGCCCTGATGTCGAAAACGGGACCGCCCTGGGCCACCGACAGGCTTGCAGGCTCCAGAAGGCGGGAGCTCGGACACACCCACGATCAGGCCGAAAAAGAGGGCGAGGCAATGACTGACTTCAGACGCCACCGCCTGCAGCGCGTTGGAGCCATTGATGCTGAGACTGCAGGACGGCGACCACTCGCAAATTCACGCAGGACAGCCGGTGAGAGGATCAGCAGCGGCGAACCAAATCACCAGGGCCAACAAGGCACCCCGCGAGAGATCTGAGGGAGATCGAGCGGCAGCGGCCTGTGCCCCTCACAAGCTTGAGCACAGTGTCAGCGGATGTGCGTCCACTCTCCCTTCCCCCAGCACATGACACATAAAGGCTGGTACCATCCTGATGATGATACTGCTGCTGCTGCTGCTGCTGATGATGATGATGATGTGGATGCTGATGATCATGCTGATGATGGTGATGATGATGATGATGACGACGATGATGACGATGATGTGTATGACGATGTGGAGGAGGATGAGGATAGTGATGATGGTGATGCGGTTTATGATGATGATGGCGATGATGATGATGATGATGATGATGATGATGATGATGATGATGATGATGATGATGATGGTGATGGTGATGGTGATGGTGATGGTGATAACGATGATGACATCGATGATGATGATGATGATGCTGATGTTGATGAGGATTATGATAAAGATGGTATCGATGTTGACGAAGATGAAGACGACGATGACAATGATGATGGTGGTGATGCTGATGATGGTGATGGTGATGGTGGCGGCGATAGTGACGGTAATTGTGATGGGAATGATGCTGCTGCTGCTGCTGATGATGATGATGATGATGATGAAGGAGATGATGATGATGATGATGATGATGATGATGATGATGATGATGATGATGATGATGATGATGATGATGATGATGATGATGATGATGATGATGATGAAGGAGCCCAGGACCACCGTTTCCGATCTCTTCGCCTATTTGTGCACCGCCTCTGAGCTCGCCGCACACGCAACTGGCGCGGCCTGCCTACCCCGCCGCCAGGGAACGCGTAAGCTCGAACGCCCGCCCTGAAGCCTTTTCGTGGGCAGCCACGTCCTTCACTATGAGCTTCAGGTCCTCACATTCAGAGAGCCTGTCCATGGACACGGTCACGTCCGCCTGCGCTCTGGGGAAGGAAGGTTCCTCCTCCTCATCATCCTTCAATATGTGGGCTGATGCCATGGGCAAGCGCAGATGGTGATGCAGCAGAGGAGATGTCACACAGCGCCTCCTCGTGGAGGTGGGGCGGCGGCCGACCTGAAGTTTACACGGCATACAAGGCAAGTGCTCACATGAACTGCTAATGGGATTCGGCACCGCCCCACAAGAGACGGCAGCCCCTGCCCCGCTAGACAAACTCGACTGTTGGGCATGAGCTTACTGGGCGTCCAAATCACTCGAGAGGCAACGAAACGTGGTAATTTTTGAACAACAAATGTCAGTATCCGCTACGGTAAGTCTGTTCCTGGTTTCCCTGTTGTCCTGTGTCCCACGTAATCTCTCCGGGGCCCACAGCACCGCTACTGCAGATCCCCGACTATTGGAATCCCTTTACAAAATCGCCACAAAAGAGAATCCGTGTGCAAAAGCTGCTACGAGAGGATAGTAATGTGTAAGCATGCCTCAAGTAGCATCAGTTTGCAAAGTCGTCTCGCAAGTAAGCATGAAGCAAGGCCGCCACAAGTGACATGATGCTTGGCGGTTAAGAATACAACAAAACATCCGCCCATCCATGCTGTAATGGCACAAACAACAAGTTGCACAGGGGGGTACGGGAAGGGGGAAGCGAAGGGGGCGAGGGCGACGGCGATGTGAGGGCAAGGTGAGGGGAGAGAGGGGGGGTCGCAGTGGCGAGGCAGGCGGGAAGAAGGTCGATGGCTGCCAGCAAGAGGGCTGCCCACCTGTGCATAGGATCTATCCTGGAGGTCGGATCTAGTCCAAGCCCCCGTCGACATCGCCGCCGTGGAGGGGATGGGGGAGCTGAGGAGGGAAAGAAAGGAAAAGGTGCAATAGGAGAGGAGAAGGAATAATACTTCAAAGTTTGGAGGAAGGAGGTTCGGGTGGGGGTAAAGAAAGGGGGGACAGATGTTGGCTGGCGACGCTCTCTCGTGTGAGCAGTTTGAGCTATGGCGCAGTGCTGCCGGCGAGATAGTGGACCAAGAGAAGAGGCCTGGGGTACGGGGAGGGGAACGGGGAAGGGGAAAGAGAAAGACGAGGAGGGAAAGGAGAGGGGGAGGGAGGGGAGGTGCAGAAGTGGATACGCGGAGGAGGGGGGTGAAGGAAGGGGATGGAACGAGGGGAGCGGGAGCGGGAGAGAGAGATAGAGAGAGAGAAGATTCGGAAGGCGTGGATGAAAGGGGGGCGCGAGGACGAGTGGAACGGAGGGTGTGGAAAAGGGACGAAGGCGGCGAGGGAGAGTAGGAGGGGGAGAGGGGGCGGGGGCCGCCGCCAGCAGCAGCGCTGCGGAGCCATATGCGCGGTGGCGAGACGCTCGCCTGCCTCCGTACATCTCGACCTTATCCTCGTCCTCCTGTACTGATCCTCCTCCTCCCACACCCCCTCCTCCGCGTCATTGCCCCTCCTCACCCTCGATCGCCCTCATCCCACCCACTGTGTCCTTGGTTCACCCCCCTGCCCACTGCTCACCGCCCGTCCAGCAGCTGCTCTGTCTCCCTCACTCCCTCACCCTCTTCCTACACCTCCTCCTCCTCCTACATTTGCTGATCCTCCCCCTCATCCTAATTCCACCTCCTCCCCGAAAAGTATCCACGATCACCACACGAATCGGGTGCGGGATGACAAAGGGGGTTAGCGCATCAACGCACGTAGCTGATTTCCCTGGCGCCTCTCTGCGCCAGAGGGGCCAATGAATCGAGGCGCCAATGTATCGAGAACTAGCTGCTGCATGCAGCAGATTTCGCACCCCAACTTTTCCTATCCCCCCTTTCGACCGACCCGACCTAAACAACGCGACGACGAAGCGCGTTCAAACAACGTCGAGAATCCTCGACCCAAACCTAAGTTGACGGGGGTGGGCGCGAGGCAACGCACCAGGAACAACATGTGGACGTTTCACGTTGGGTTTTGTCAGGAGGGGCGCGAAGCACATGTTTTACGCGATTGTGGCTCTTATCGGGCCCACGCGATGGCAAAGGCCTGCGATGGACCGTCTAGGTGGCCTATATGCTCCCGCAAGAACTGGTGCCAGGGGCGCCCGACGGCCGCGCCTGAACATTCTGGCTTGACGCGACCCTTGATCGGCCAGTCGCAACTTATGCAACTACAAATAACAAGCTGGGGGGCAATCGCGCGCAACGATCTCCACCGACGCCCTGCGGCAACGACGCCGCGGTGGCCGACGGCCCGCGAGAAGTCGCGGAGAAATCCCGATGCCGTTTGCGAATCGCGATTGGCATTCCGAATCGGCGAAAACCGAAAGCGGATGGCGGATGCTCGCCGCGCTCGCTCGTGCAAACGCGCGGGTGCGTCGACGCGCGAAGCAAACGCGCGCGCTGACAACTGCGCGCTCGCCGAGCGCCGCGGCGCCCTCGCGGGCGACCTCCGCGACCGCCCTCCAACCAACGATCGGAAGCTGGCGCGGGCGGTGAGCGAAAATATGCCCGCTCCGACCGCTGCCAGACGCGGGAGCGGCAGCGCGGCGGGGGGCGCTCTAACAAGGCGACCGCCCCATCAACGTAGCCGAAGAACGCTGCGCGAACGCCCTGACCCCTAAAGGAAGCGGCGCGCGCCTGGCAAAGGATTGCGGCCTGGCGCCACCGGAGAGGCCCCGCGCGGGGGAGGCCGGCAGCTCGGGGAGGCACCAGCCTGACAATGATAAGCAAAGGCGCGGCGAAAGCCCCGCCTGCAGACAGCAACGGCGTCATCAGGGCCGCCGTCATCATGATGATCATCATCATCATCATCATCATCATCATCATCATCATCATCATCACCACCACCACCACCACCACCAGCAGCAGCAGCATCAGCACCAGCATAGTCATCATCGGCATCAGCATCAGCATCAGCATCAGCAACAGCATCCACATCATCATCATCATCATCATCATCATCATCATCATCATCATCATCATCATCATCATCATCATCATCATCATCATCATCATGATCATCATCATCATCATCATCGTCAGAAGCATCATCATCAGCATCAGCATCATCAGCATCAGCATCATCAGCATCAGCATCAGCATCATCATCATCATCATCATCATCATCATCATCATCATCATCATCATCATCTCATCATCATCATCATCATCCTCATCCTCATCACCATCATCATCATGTTCATCATCATCACCGTCATCATCATCATCATCGTCATCACCAGCAGCAGCATGAGCACCAGCAGCAGCATCAGCACCAGCAGAATCATCATCGGCATCAGCATCAGCATCCACATCATCAGCATCATCATCACCATCAGCAGCAGCAGCATCCACATCATCATCATCATCATCATCATCAGCAGCAGCAGCATCAGCATCATCATCATCATCATCATCATCAGCATCAGCATCATCATCAGCATCATCATCATCATCATAGTCATCATAATCATCATCATCATCGTCATCATCATCATCATCAGCATCATCATCATCATCACCATCACCATCACCATCACCATCATCATCATCATCATCATCAGCATCATCATCATCATCATCATCATCATCATCATCATCATCATCATCATCATCATCATCATCATCATCATCATCACCATCATCATCATCATCATCATCATCATCATCATCATCATCATCATCATCATCATCATCATCATCATCATCATCATCATCATCATCATCATCATCATCTGCATCATCAGCATCATCATCATCATCATCAGCAGCAGCAGCAGCAGCAGCAGCATCAGCACCATCCGTAGCCATTTTGGCTCAGGCCTTTCCGTTGACCCCCTGCTCCTGGACCGTGTCCCTCTGAGGGCCTTGGGGGGGCAGGGCTCTTGGCTCACGGAGCGATGGCGGCACGGGATGGCGCGGAGTGCGCGCCAAGGCCATCGGCGGCCCAGCGCAGGGCAGGCCGAGAGTGGGCGAAATGATCCGCCGACAATGCCGTCAGGCGGCTCTCGGGCGAGCTGGCCAAGACCTGATTTCGCCTGGAGGCCGCGGAGGAGGCCCTGTGCGCCGTCATCGGCACCGGCGAGGTTGGGCAGCGACTGCAGGCAATGCTCCCCGCGCTGCAGGCCAAGCTTGGGGGTAGGTCCCCCACATGGCTCGAGCGCCTGCGGCGTAATGTCGCCCTCCACGCTGAGGCGCAGGGCGTGGACATCGTGGCGGCGGGAGCGGCGGAGCTGCGCTGTGCCCAGCGGGGGCCCTGGCTGGGGGGGCGCGCGGCGCCCAGGCGCGAGGCCGAGGAGGCTGCCGCTGGGGCGATGCGGGCAAAGGCGCCCTCCCTTGTTCCTGCCGGCCTCCTTGGTGCTGTCACGCCCGACCTCGCGCCTGAAGGAGTCGGCCGAGATGGGGGCGTCCAAGCTGCGCGGGCGCGCCGCCACCGCGCGGCGGTCGCCGTGAGCTTCAGGGACTGCGTCGGCGCTATCGCGGAGGACGGCAGCGAGCAGCTGGAGCCTCTGGATGGCAGGCCGCGGGTGCGGTTGCCGAGGGAGCTCAGGCGCCTGCGGAAGCGCCTCCTTCTACTGGGGCCAGCAGCGGTCCTTGGGGAGCCCAGACAGGGGCAGACCCTAAAGGAGGGCAACGGACCGTGGCGCGAGGCCGCAGACATGCGGGTGGCCGAAGCCCTTGACCAGGTCCAGCCTCCACCCTGGGCCGCGGATGCGCGGGTGGCCGAAGCCCCAGGGGAGAGAGGCCCCTCGTCGGCGTCGGGGCGCGGAGACGTCCTTGGGGAGCCCGCTGCTGGGCAGACCCAGAATGGGGAGGGGTGAGCTCTGGAGCAAGGCCGCAGACGTGCGGGTGGCCGAAGCCCTTGACCGAGCTCAGCCCCATTCCAGGGCCACGGACGCGTGGGTGGTCGAAGCCCCTGGGATGAGGGCCCCCCCCCCAGCGGCTGGCGTCGGGACGCGGAAGCGTCCTTGGGGAGCCCAGACAGGGGCAGACCCTAAAGGGAGGGGGAGGCGAGCTCGTGCTCAAGGCCGCAGACGTGCGGGTGGGCGTTTCCCTCGAACGAGCTCAGCCTCCGCTAAGGGCCACGGACGCGTGGGTGGTCGAGTCCCCTGAGCCGAGCGCCCCCTCCCAGGCGCTGGAGGACCAGAAGGGTATGCACAAGCGCAAGTTCGGCCTGGACCTGGACGAGGACGGGGGCTTCTTCGAGGGCGGGCTGGAGGACCCGAAGGGCCAGTACAAGCGCGAGGTCGGCCTGAGCCTAGGCGCGAACGTGAGCGTGTGCGAGGACTGGTCGGAGTGCGGCGGCCTTGGCGGCGACACAAGCTTCCTGTCTGCGCGCGAGCTCCTGGAGGCGGGGGCCGCCTCTCGGACCTCCCTCGCCGCGGCCAGCATCCTCCTGGGGTTCCCACTCGAGGCCCCGTACCAGCTCGCGGGCGTCGCGGGCTGAGTCGCCGTGACTGCTCGGGTGTCGTTTTCCGCCTGCTTCGGCTGGGGCGGGGGGCGGCTTCTCGGCACTCAGGCGAATCTGCGTGTGTGCCTTGGGCACGAGCCCGAGCGTTGCCTCCGAAGGGCCAAAGGGAAACGCCTCGGTCCGAGGGGCAGTACGAGCTCGGAGCTCCTGTTCCCTTCAGACGCGGGGATCATCATCATCAGCAGCAGCAGCAGTAGCAGCAGCAGCATCACCATCATCATCATCATCATCATCATCACCATCATCATCATCACCACCACCATCATCATTATCATCACCACCACCACCATCATCACCATCATCGTCATCATCATCGTCACAACCATCATCATCATCATCATCATCATCATCATCATCACCACCACCACCACCACCACCACCACCACCCCCACCACGACCACCACCACGACCACCGCTGCCGAACAGCGCCCCATCTTGGAAGCGCGAACGGCTCCGAAGGGAGCAAGGTTGTGCACGGGCAAAGCTGGCCCAGCGGGCCAAGGGCGTGCTACACTCCACCGGCCTGCGAGCCGCAGCTCCTGACCCAGGCCTGAGGAAAACAGGCCTCTGATGGCCGCGCCCGGCCGCCTTCGCGGGCGGGCGCGCGCAAGGCGGCGGCGCTGCAGCACAGAGAGGAGACAATAAGAAAGGGGAAGGAGGAGGAAAAGGACGAGGACGAAGGAGGAAAAGGACGAGGACGAGGACGAAGGAGGAGGAGTACGGCGCCCATCACAAACTGCGAAAATCAAGCAGGCAGGCTTGATCCCGATGGCGGCGGGACGGGTCAAATGGCATCGTGTGGGGGGGTCCCCGGTTTGCAGGCCGCCGGCCTTGGCCGAAGCGCACTCACTCCTCCCAGCCATCGTCTCCGAGGCGCTCT